ATATATAGTACTATAATTCTATCACTCTGGGAGGATAAGGCAGGAAGATCCCAAATTCCACACAGGCAACTGTGTGACTTAGCAGAAGCCTGTCTCAAAATGAAACATAAAAAGGATGTAGCTCAGTGCAAAGACCTTAAACTAAAATGAAAGCAGGCAAAGGAAGAGGGAGGAGGAAGGAGAGAAGGGAAAAGAGGGGGAAGGGGACAGGGAAGAAGGCAAGAGACACTATGGTTTTCTTTGTTTTTGTTTTAAGATTTATTCATATTTTTATATATTTAGAATGTTTTAAGATTTAATGGGGAGGGGCCGGGGAGATGGCTCAGTAGGATAAGCGCTTGACTGGCAAACGCAAGGATATGAGTTCAATCCCCGGTTCTGCCAAAAAAAAAAAAAAAAAAAAGATTTAATGGGGAAAGAAAGCTCCTGTCAGAGAGAGGGTCAGAGGGGAACTGCATGGCTTGCCAAGACATATGAAAGATTTGTTATCTAAAGGAATCCCAATCCAGAGTCTATAAAATAAGAATATATTCATTGGGGGAAAGAAAGCTTCTGAGAAAGCTCTGAGACAGAGTCTGCAGTGGGTTGCTTGAGAGACACTCTGCTTAAATTTCTGGACCCTTTTAACCTTTAAGAGGATGTAGTCCCCTCCCTGTCTGCAACACACTTCCTTAAGTACCAAAGAAAACAAGGTAACAAATGTGTAATAAACATCCAGCAAAACTATCAAACAACTGCTAGTAGAAAATACAGCTCCAATTATAAACTGGGTTGTTTAAATAGTTCTCCCCTTAAGACTCTCAGCACATTTACAGCTTTCCCAAGTCTTGAGACATGAAGTCAAGCCCATGGTAGAAAAACAATATATAGGGGGCCGAGGAGATGGCTCAGTGGAATAAGCGCTTCCCTGGCAAGCGCAAGGGCCTGAGTTCAATCCCAGGTTCCGCAAAACAAAACAAACAAAAAAATTCATGCCAGTGATATAGCTCAGTGGCACAGTGCCTGCCTGGCAAGCACAAAGTCCTAATGCCAAAAATTAAAACATTAAAAAAA